GACCCCAATTAACCATATAACCTCAAACCAACGTTGTGCAGTCATTCAAAATTTTATTTTAGCCATAAATAGCCAAAAAATGGTCGAAGAATCGCTTCATAAATGGTCGAAAATGGAGGATTTCTACCAGGGAAAGCTACAGGCCAGGACCCCTATTCGAAATTTAGCCTTTCACGACTTCTGAATTAGCTTGAAGATATAGTAATTAATAAAATAAATACGTGTAACAACCATATTACACGCACTATGTACATATGTATATACGTACGTATGTATGTATGTATGTACGTACGTATGTATGTACGTATGTACATACATAAGTATGTACGTTCGTGTGTACGCAGATTTTAACGCATGTTTAGGGTTATATGGTTAATTGGGTCTTTGGGGCTTATTGATTGTGAGGGCTATGGTATTAGAGGTATGAAGTTATTGAAGTATTGGGTTATGAGGTTTGATTGGGTTCTAGAGGTTTTTGTCATTTTTTGCTATTTTTTCCGCAGCTTATTGAAAGATAAAAAAAAATGTCACGTGATGGGGCAAAACGGGCTTGGATTCGGATTCAGCGACTCAAAAACATATAATCCACCAAGTTTGGTCAGAGGAACATTTCACTTATTTTTTTATGGTGCTGTGTTAGTATATTATTTATAAAGAAAATAATTTCTTTAAATTAATAATTAGGTACCCTTTCTTAGGTAGGTCTTCTTCTTAATTATAATTAATAAAAATCAATTTAATATGGATTAGAACTTTATTATTAAATATATTAATTGCATTACTTCAGTGCAGAAATTAATATTCTGGATTCTAGAAACAAGGGAGGGCGGCCTTGAAAACTCCACAGCTCTTAGGCCCTTGTGCTTCCTCCTTTGGGCAACCAACACATCACAACCGTCAGCCGTTCTAATGTTTTAAAAAAGGTGACGACGTTTCTTTGGGAGATCTCCCTTATGTTGATCAAGTATGGCCAACGTTCACCCAGCATGGATTCTATTATTTATGAGACGGCAAAACAAGCAAGAGACGTCACATGGTACATGTTGTTACTGGCAGTCTCTACAAATGAGTGTTGCATTTAGCTTCAAGTTATGGAGGTGTTTTCTCAAGTGACTACTGAAAATGTTCAATGAGAATGCCTGTTACAAAACGAAAAGTATTCCTGGCCATAGCGAGATATACCATTACCGCCTTTTTACAGGGGTACTTCAAAAGCTCCCCAGCAAATTTGCAACTACCTGCTTCATCGCACAGTTGATTAAATTTCACACGAGTGTATTCTGTAATTTGTTGAGGCTTTCATCCAACAAATAAAATGTTCTTTATGAGAGCGCAATCTGTAAGTTTTTGATGACATTCTTTTACTGCCCTTGTTGTTATTTTGTAGTAATGTAGGGCTAGTAGCGATTGCCTGATATCTGTGTAGATTTTGATCGTTTAAATCACTATATGCCTGCGGATAACCTCTTTAGCGGTAGTGGTTATTCCCGCTCCTTATTTTCTTTTTGAACCATCCGTGAAGATTTGCTCCTTATTTCAACTTTGAACCGTCCGTTAAGATTTTTATTATTTTTTCTACGGTGGTTTCATTATCACCTTTAATAAGAATTGAGTCAGATTTGTCAAATACGAATTAGGGAGGGATGATGTCAGTAGGAGCCTGAAGAAGTGCCAATTTTCTGATGGCATTTCCACCTCCTGATGGCATGGCACCTCCATTGTTCTGGTTGGTGTTGTTCGCATTGCGCTAGTTATGCTTAGACAGGTGGTTCTTTGTACTTGGTTAGCCACAATTTTGCTTCGGTTTATAGGCATTTGAACCATCAAACAACAGCTCATAAATTCGAATTGACTTACAGTTCACTATTATCTCCTTCAAAATAACTTACTTGGGAAGCCGCACAGCGCTGTAGATGGTTCTTCCATTCCTCGTAGTAGTGCTGGAAATCTGATGGAATATAATGGAATAGCCTCGTTTACTGAAATGGCTGTGTGGCAAGGCGCATTGTCGTGATGCAACATCCAGTTGTTCTTGATCTTTGGATTCAAATTTAACTATTCCCCGATCATTCTTGTCGTCAACCAATGATCTTAACGCACAAGATCTCATATTATATCGACATTTTCATCGGTTCTTGAAGATGAAGGCTTTCTGCTGCGTGGTTCATCTTCAATCGATTTTCTTCCATCTGAGAATGCCTTAAACCGTCGAAAAACCTGGGCTCTTGAAAAAACACTGTCTCCGTAGGGGTATTGAAGTTTTGCAAAAGTATCCGTTACGCTCTATCCAAGTCTGAAGCAAAACCTGATAGTACACCGTTGCTCAAAATTAATGTCACTCATTTTTAAGACGCACTAGAAAAAAACGGTATTCGAAAACAGTCACAAAAAAAACAAATAAATGACTAACAAGTTTAAACTTGTACTGAAGGTGCATTACATGTTAACCTACCGCCCTTCCAAGTCCCGTCTTCGAAGTGTTGCTAGATCAGGCGCTGCATTACCAGTCTCATTACTTAATTTACATACCTCGTATGTAACACACTAATTACTGTCACTGCTTTTTTTATGCCTCAGTTTTAATATTTTATGCTCATAATTCATACTTTTTTTAATAACCGTATTAGTCGATTCCTGAGTATATCTAGGTATACAAGTTATATTTTTATAAAGTATGAACACTTTATGATGCACTAAGATGCACAAAGTGTTGTTTCAATTTCAGTCTTATTAAAAAACAAATTGTACGAACTCCGTATAAAATGGTTAACACTTCTTTTTGGCTCTTTATACCAAAGAGAAACCGGGAGATATTCTACATATTCCTACCATGAAGCTAAAACTAAATGAATTATTTGATATCTACTAAATTAAAAATTCAGCATGGTTTTATTACATTGTTATTACATCTAAAATAATTAAATATTTTCATTGCTATTCAAATCGAAACAAAATGTGTGTCCTAATTTGTAAAAACAGCGACATGCTTTGCATTCTGAATTAATAAAAATTTATTTTAGCCTATTGCAATTTTCATTATTGTCATTTTAAGCCCTGACAAACTCATTAACAATTTATGTGAAATAAAAAATGAAACTCAAAATTGCATTGTTTCCTTAACCAAGTTCTTCTTTCTAAAAGGTAATTTTTAAGTATTTCTTATGAGACTCCAACTACTGTTATATGATAAGGCTCAAATTTCCTTTTATTACAACTACATTAAACAGTACTTCTTAGATCATAACAGCTTTAAAAATACCGTCTACTCGGCTACAGACACCAAGACAACTATAACTTTCTTACTTAAAGTCATGAACTGTAGTATGGGTAATAACTAATGCCGGTTACACCAAGTCTGCGCAGCGTGTTAACAGCTCTCCTAAATATAAAATGATATACGGAGACAAGATTTAAAACAAGAGCACCACCTTGTGCATTATTTAGTGTATTGTTCCGTGTTTACCTTTCTGATATTCTGTTTACCCTTAAACGCCACTGAGAACACAGCACAGTAATATTTGAAATTTGGAATGGCATTAAAAGTATAATTTTCCAGCCCAACATATTTAAAGTTAAGTTAATTAAATTAAGTTAAGTTGGTTTAAGTTTATGGTGTCTAAATTTAGGTAATTATATTGCAATTACTATGCAAAGCAGTGACACTGGTAGAATTTAATATTTTCATGTCTACATACAGGGCCATATAGAGAAAAAATAATTCTTCGTATTACTAATAAATGTTGTTCATTCTGTTCAAATGTGGCACTGTCAATTTTATGAGTGACAAGCATTTGTTTCTGTTGTTGAAAATTCATCGCCATAATAAATTTATAACTTTCGAGGTGAAGATTATTATAGTTGTTTATGTTCAAGAACGCGAACGACCGTGTCTTAAGTTAGTTACTGCTCTTTTTAACAGTTTGGCATATACATCCATTTTATGCCTAAATCACGGAATAGGAGGTATGCTCGAGGAAAAAGTGCGATATGAAGAAGAGAGTTTGGAAAGAGTAGAAGAAAATCCAGAAATTAGTAAGTAGTCGGCGATTGTCAACAACCGCAGAGATTGACCAGCAGTTTTTAGTTTTCACACGCAGCAGTTTCCATTTCTGCCCTGTAAAAAATTACATAAACCGCATCGCCCTTTACGATTAACATTCTACTTCTGCAGCTACTACAATAACAGCAGCACATTACTCGGGAGAATTGCCTTTACAGATGGGCATACCAATCGGTAAAAATAGCCTCTATTTTTACCAATTGGGGTCTTTTTAAATGCAAAACCTCTCACATTTAGTTTAAAATGAACAAAATCCGCGTTTAATGAAGTGCACCACTTCCAGCATGAATTTTTAATAAACGTTTGGTGCGGCATCGAAGGAAATTTGAATTTGGTATCTAACATACCACCTGCTAAGTTGAATGGCCGATATTATTTGGAATTCATGAGCATTGAATGAGAACATCTGAACCAAGTATTTCCACAATGGTCGTGGTAATGACCCTTGGTTCTCTCGCAGTTCCCGGATATAAATCCGCTAGGTTTTTACTTCTGGGGTCATTTGAATGGAATTGTTTATTGCACAGTATCACCCAGTACCAGAAAAAAAAAACACGGGAAATACACCTTTGGAAACCACAAATATGTATACAGTAACGCGGAAATGTACAGAAAGATTCGTTCTAACGTTCAGAATTAAAAAGCGTTTATAGTCCAGCTCTTCACCTTGCTGTTACGACATTTATAAAAAGCGCGTCGTATACATTGTGCTGAATACACTTCCTGAAATGTTATTTTAAAATATAATAAATAAATTGTATATTCATAAGATTAATAAATGAGTCTCATAGGAGTAGGGTGTAAATGGAGCTTCTGCGACAAAAAAAATAAAAAAAATCACTCCACAGAAATTGACATTCTCTAGGATTCATTGCGATTGTGTCAGAGGGACAGTATATACGAAAATGACGTCTGACACACAATCAAACCCTGTGACAGGTGCCACAGGCGGGATTCGAACCCGCGCAGACAATAGCTCTCGAAGTAATCGTCATCTGCTCACCTGGTGCTTGATACACTGAGCTATCGCCGCGGCGACGTAAGGACCTGTACCTGACTTTTTAACCTGTCCATCCGTCCGTCCATGCCAGATCCACGCATCGATAGATTGACAGGCCGATGGACCGACAGGCGGACAGATTAAAAAACAATTAAGAGGCCATTAAAAACCAATTAAAGAATCCTTGAATCCTTGTCAAAAATCCCATTTATACCCTTTTTATAGGTATATTATATTTACTAAGAATATTGCCATATTACGCGAATTATATTATTACGCGAAGTGGCATTGCATCTCTTTCACCTGAAAAGCTGCCACTGAAGAATGTCTATTTACATTTTTGTATTCTACCACGCCCTCGAACAAAGACCTTAATTGTGAGACATGTATATTTTATTTACGCGCTAATGGAGGGAAATAGCTGCCCAGCCAATTACAACTACTTTATGCGTTATGCCATTAACGACCCTTTAACTCCGTGTTCCGACATTGCGAACTACGAAGAGGATGTTCTATTTTTGGGAAAGAAAAAAAGTAAATTAGAGAAAGTTTCGCGACTTTTGTGAGTCCTTGGATCCGTTAAGATGTTACTAAATATAGACGACACTCCTTACTTGAGTAGTTGCGAGCATCTTTAGGATATAAAAGACGAAAATGTCTCTTTGGAGATAATGTTTTTTATGAACAAAGCAAGCATTTAACTAGCATCTCGGGTTGAATGTAGTTTATCCTTCTTTAGTGCTGGTTTTCATTTTTATTTAAAAATCTCGACTGCTTATAATTTAGAGAAGAGTTTAATAAGAATGTAGGCATAAAATATAAATAAAACTAATGTTTTCAAGATATTTCGTATATACCGACTGATATATGTATCCACATTTTAAAATGATTTTGAAATGAATTGTGATTTTATTTTTTCATAATTTGTTGCTCTAGTAAAAAACCGCTACCTGAAGAATCATTCACCGAACATCAAACGGTTTGAAGAACTGCCAGGGTCTTGGAACCATCTTCAAACATGTTTGGGCCACTTAATAAATAAAACGGTAGTGGATAATTTTTATAGTTCATATAAAATAATCATCTAATGCCTAGACAATAGATCAGTGGCAGTTGGTGATATTTCAGATAGCCATATGTTGAAAACGACATAGGACCCACTTCACTTTTTTAGGTGATGACTATACACCTCTTACAGAAAGGATTTATAGTGAAAAAATCGTCAGCAAAGTTTGCGAAAAAATTTTCAAAAACAGTGGAGCACTCCCTGGGTTCTCAGTAACGCTCTGTGGGATATTTGCAGTATATTTTTTTTCATAATCTAGAAACAAATATAAGAGGGCGTTTTTCGATTTGTTGCAAAATATTTTTGTTTCAAAAAGTTATGGCCATTTTAATTTTAATTTTATAGGAACATTTTGTTTCCCAAAATTAAAATGGCCATAACTTTTTGAAACAAAAATATTTTGTAATAAATCGAAAAACGTCTCCTTATATTTGTTTCTAGATTATGAAAACATATATACTGCAAATATTCCACAGAGCGTTACCGAGAACCCAGGGAGTGCTCCAGTGTTTTTGAAAATTTTTTCGCAAACTTTGCTGACGGTTTTTTCACTATAAATCCTTTCTGTAAGAGGTGCATAGTCATAACCTAAAAAGTGAAGTGGGTCCCATGCGTCGTTTTCAAGATATGGCTAACTGAAATATCACGCACCGCCACTGCAATACATAGTACAATGCGATATGTGTACAATGAATGCAATTACGGATACATCTACACGTATAATATTAATCCCATTTATCCATGCACGCATTGTAATCTAACGTATGTATTTGGCAATAATAATTAATTATCGGAGTGGATAGTAATACACTTGATGGTCATTTGCTCTCAGATTCATATCAATCCGACGAACATCAATCAGATTCCTGAAGGGAGATGAACGAAATCAGCGGGCTAGAAATGTTGATAACGTCTGTCAGGAGAAATGACCAATTACCATCTATTGGTGATAAATCTACACACCGTATCTTGATAGAGGTGTATGAAACTGTGGTTGGGTAAGGTTCATGAAGGATGTTGTTAACTAAAGACGTTGAAGAAACTAAGATCGTTGAAGGTTAGTTAGTTTGTACGTTAATTGTTTAGTATGTTAGTTTAGATCATAATATTTGTAACAATTTAAAACAAAATGGTTGGTAAATGGTCAACTGCTATTAAATCAAATCAAGTATGAAAATAATTAATAGTTGTATGGATAAAAATAGTTTTATGGATAAGTGTAAAAATAAGATATCAACATTTTAGATTTTTACAGCCAATATTAAAGTCAAGTATGTAAATGTTCATGTGCATTATGGTTGTAAAGTGTTTTCTACACTGAAATACTACACTCTTAAGATTCTTAATGAGTTTATTTCCACAACCACGTAAAGGAAGTGAACAATATTATAAAAATACAGTATGTTCTATCTAAAAAAGCCGATTTAAGAACAGATAACGTTACTTAAAGGTGATCATCTCACCACCTTAATTAATAATTTGATATAATTAAAAAATTGTACATTTTAGGTATAGAGTAAGTCTAGAAAGAGTGTGAAAAAAAGTAGGCAAAACGTAAGTAATGACTTAATAAAGGACAAAGATGGTCAAGTTTGACCCTCAAATTTAAAAGCCCTGTACATTTTGTCTTGTATCTAGTATACCTGAAATTAAGCTCAATCTTTCATGCTAAAATTTATCAATCTTTCACATATTAAAAAAAAATAATAATAGAATTTTACACACAATGAGAATTATGATTTCTTTTCTAGAGGTTTACAATTTTGATTCTTTTTTGAACCGTTCCTTTTAAAGATAGACAATGGTTACAAGAATAATTTTTTAATGAGTGGAAAGCAACCACTAAAATAATTAGAAATAATTCACTTCCGATATATCGGAAGTGCTAGAAAGTTGACATTATAGCTCCAAATTTTGTAGTTCTTCCAAAACGTTTAATATTCCACTCACCGTAAAGCACCCTGTATGAAAATTTAGTTTGATTACGTTTTTATCTTAATCAATTAGTAAATCGAAGAATGAGTATAGGGTACCATTAGCCCGGCAATGGTCGCTCCATCTCCCAGACCCAAGCAGTATTCTGTTCGTGAAAATAGTAGGAACAATGGCGTTGTCTTGAGCTTCCAGGTGCGTTCCGAGCATTTAGTTTAGCAGCTTTCTGCCGAATAAAATGAGTGTAATTCGTTTTCCAAGAAAAGTTACGACGGCTTTGGGTTTGTCAGATTAGGCACGACCAATGGTGTTACATGCATTTGCATAGTTCATAATTTGAAGAATTATTGTTTTTGACTTGAAAAATAAAATAAAAACAGGTAGGTCGTATTTTAGGGAGGAATATAATGGGTTTTAATATATCTTCATTTACAAAAATATGGACGACAAAAATAAACAGGTCCATTTAGTGAGCTCGATGGATGAAGTAGATGTTGAAGAGAACATTGCCTTTGACGATGAAAAAAACAATATTGAAAATAATTTTATTGACAAAACAAGAGGACAAACAGTAACGGCGAGAATAAAAAGCGATATTGGCTCTGTAAAAAAGATTCAAAAACTAAGTATTTCTGTAAGTTATCCCTAAAATTTCTGTGCTTATCCCATGCAGAATATTTGTGCCCTGGTCGTGCCCCTTATCCCGAGAACTGGCCATAATGTACCTTCAGACATCCACCATCCATGATTATATTTAATTAAATTTTTGTTATATTCGTTTTCGTTTATTTTGATGGTGACTGTATTTTTTTGGTGATCATATGTTTGTTCCCTACATGTTTGTCATAAAACATTAAAATATTTGGGTATATTTAATTTTGTCGCCAGTTTAATATATTCCAATGACATACGGTATTACAATTATTGTATTAGATAAACTGGAATACTACAAATATTAAGCCTACCAATTGAGGTACGTACCACAGTTTTTACCTAAAGTAATGTTGCTGAGATTAGATTCACCAAATTTTGAAAAGCATAATATATGTTGAAAATTGATTTTGAGATTAAAAAGTGTCTAGATATTTATTCGATAGAAATTATTGTATTTAGATGCTTTAAATTTTATTATTTCCTTACTGTAGATCATAATTGTTTGGTTAAAATTAAAACCCCAACGCTGCGCCTCTGGTTAGTAAAAAAAGCGATTTTTTTTTTGTATTCAAAGCACCAGTCCAAATGCTGCAGTATTTTGCACCTCGCGAGTCTGATTGGCTAGAGAGCATTAAGTCATATGTTATGATATACCAATTACAGCCTAGATACTCTCATTTAAGTGGAATGTTCAGCTAGCTGCGCCATCATTATTACTCGTTCGTAGCCGCAGGTTACACGTTTTTTCGATAGCTCGAAGTATACGTATACTAAACATACCGATATTATATCGAAAACACAATCATATTCATCATTATTAAAATTCGTAAAAATCAAAATTCGTTTGTTTCGAAAATAAAATCTTGAAATTAAAAGAAATGTCGGTCATCGCCAAAGGTAAAATGAGTGACTGTTCTGAATCCATTCTAGTGACTGTACAGGCGAGAAGAATGATAAGGTAAGTGATTTGGTAAGGATACCTGCTGATGATATGGCGGGTTTTCTCCAGGCTGGCTACTGGCCTTCTCTTGATTGCACTTAAGTAACATTTAAAATAAAGGCTTACGACAGTTTAAGTTTGAACAAAACACTGATTGACTAGAGAAGAGAAGACAGTACACACAGAGAAAAATTAATTAAAGACCGTTAAAAAAATATATATAAATGAAAGTGCAACAGTGACTTTTTCTTTAACCAACCCAAAGGGGATTTTTCTTAAGGGGTAACACCATTTCTAGGATTTTGAAAAAATCTATTTCGTTTTTTTTTCTTTTTTGGCTTAAATTGTACTTAGAGTCATAAAAATGATATACAGTTGGTCCCATAGTGAAAAAAAATTAACGGGTTTTATTTTCAATTTTGCCACACAATTTTGCGCGTCATT